TTATAACATCATAATGCTCTTAGAGAAAGTGGACAAACAAAATGAAGCTCCATCTTTAAATGATTTTTCTTAAATAATTATAATGATATCATTAAGAATTATGCTAACTCTTGGGTTGGATCATTATGCTAACTATTGGGTTGGATCGTTATGCTAATGTTTCATCCTACATGGTGCCTATTGTTTATGATGACATAATTCTTTAGACTCCAACTTTTTGAGAATTATGCAGTCATAATTATGTTATCAAGAACTATGTCATCATAAACCCAAAGAATTATGTTACTAAGAATTATCATAAACATTACTCCAAAGATTTATGCCATCACAAACATTAGTAATTACTCCAATTTACGGGCATGGAATTATACTACTCATCCAAAGAATGATCTGCGCATATTCGTAATTACTCCAAAGAATTATGCCATCATAAACATTATTCTGTTCATGTTTATGCTGAGAAATTTAGATATCATTAAGAACTATCAATGACGATGCAAATAACTTTTTTTGAAACAAGCCAAAACGTGGTATGTTTGTGAGGGAGTTTGATAATGATTATCAACTATACTGTAATTGGATTATTGAAACTGTCATATGTACGTGTGAGAAAAAACAGTTTGTGTTAAAGGTAAACATGGATAAAAATATGTCATGCCAAAATGTAGATTAGAAAGGCCAAACCACCACAATTTTAGACCTATTTCCGTTTCTTTACCTCTAACAAAATCAATTCATCACAGTATATATTTTATGCTTTACCGTATCAATGGCACTATGTATAAAAAAAAGAAAAATGTAAAATAGATATTTCATATGTCTCTAGGGTGGAATTGCAATGTTAAAAGAAAAGAAAACTGTTATGATGAACGTGCTTTATTTATTTGTCACCAATTTATTAGCAGTTGTACTTTTGAGAGATTTATAAAAAAAAATTGAAAAAACCAACTTTGCAACACTTATAATTGTCACGTCGTATCGATAAATGGTTTTCTCTTTCCTCGACGTTCATATTTTGTCTCCTCTTCCTTTCATTTTTGGTCATTCTTGCCCTTTGTTGATTACTTGATATCTAACGGGTATTATTTTCCATTTTGTTAATGTAACTGTCAAATACATATGTAATTTATAAGCAACATAATTCCACTAATTATGTGAAAAATAGCGGTAAATATAGATAGGATTTAAAATAAATATAGGTATTTGGAAGAAAAAAAAGTTACTCCAAAAAGTATTATTTGTAAAACATATGTTAAAATTATAAATCTAAACTAAAATATAAAAAAGACGAAGAAGAAATGGAAAATCAATAAAAAGAAACATAAATTATGTTGGACAAATAGATGAAAAGATTGCATATTAACTAAACATTAAAATATAAAATGGTGTAAGAAATGAAAGTAGCGTAACTTAATTATATGAAAAGCTACTACCCAAACAAAAAATTATATGAAAAATTGAGTTAATTTAAGTTATAGATAAAATATATATTAAAAAAATAACGAGAAAAGACAGTGTTATAGTAAAAGAAGTTTAATATATTTGACTGTGTTTCAATTACCCCTTGTAGGTTCATAGTAATATTTATATGTTACTCCAAATTATTTTGTATTTTAGTTAACTCATAATATTAGTGCATCTATATTAAATATTTCTAGAAGGATATTATTTTTACGGGAGTTTAAAATATTCTTGAGCAGTGTAAATGAGTGCACGATAGCCTGTGTTCCATTATAGGATAATTATCAACCATCGCTAACAGGAGTTGTGTATCACCATCAATATTCTATTATACTCACCATCAAAATTAGTTTGTATTATCTATCTTACTTTTTTTATACACCTATCTTTATTATGTTCAAGGGGATAGCAAGAATGAAGTTATCCAAAAAATGAAGTTGAGTATAACAATTTCGAAGATGAATTAAAATACTCATATAAAATTTTGTTCAATGTATTAAAACATATCAATATAGAAGTTAATATACACATATACATTATCCATTGGCGATGGCAAAATAATAATATTACTTATTTAATTGAATAATTTTTTGAGTGTGTATATATAGACTTCTATAAAGATATCTTCTATTTTAGTCATTGACCAAGATCCTTTTCTTGAGATGAATGTTTTGTAGTAACAATAATTATACAGTTCAAGAAAACTTCAATTAACAAAGATCCTCATCTTGAGATGAATTTTGTGCAATCACAACAATTTTGCAGTCAAAGAAAACTTCAGTTAACAAAACAAACCATGCCCAATAAAAATGAAATGATCATTTACATATTTACAAAGGAAAACAAAACTTAAAAAAAGGAGATAAAACAATTTATATATTTTAACTAAAAGAAATCAATCATAAATAATTAATGAGATTTGGAATGATGGTTTAATATTCCAAATAATTAATTAGGAAATGAATTTGGAACAAATAATATTTTAAAAATTAATTTCGATATATCATTTTCAATGGCTATATACTCAGAGATATATTATCTCCTAATAATAACTCTGAGCATTTATATGTTATAACAATGTTTAGAAAAAACAATCATTTCATATAGTAATTAGCCTTCACGTTCTTCTAAGATAGTAATTACAGTAGCAATTAGCCTCAACGTTCTTCTAAGATAGAAAACACAATCTTCTAAGAACACATTTGAAACTTTTACTGATATCATATAATATATTGTAGTCCATAACACTACATTTAATATGTAATAAGACACTGTAGCCTTTTTACATTGAGTTACATGAATGAATATTCATTGAGTGATAAGGTAAATTAAGCACAAGATATGAATGAAAATACAATGAGATAAATTACCTAACCAACGAAAACCAAATCAACACCTAAACTATTAATTGATAAATTTTGACTTATAAGGACCATAAAAGTTAAATATTCTCTCCTAATAGTAACTTTGAGCAAATATATTAGATTTTTGAACATATACATCACTTCATGATACATCACTTCATGATACATCACTTCATGGAACTTTACTCATTATTTTATACAACATATAAATTACATATAACAATATTTGATAGAAAATCACCATGAAAAGAGGTTACCTCTTAGCAAAAATATTTCATCTTCAACATCTTTTACCCATTGACATATTGCATGTCTATAATGTCGCCGCCTACATAAAATCATTGCATAGAAAAAGTAAGGAAAAAAAACCAACCAGTGAACGTGTTACTAATTGGATAATAACTAATTGGATTTTTTTTAGAGAAACATTGCTTAAAGGTAAATGAAATGCATGTTGTATATCTGGAAGGAAATTGTATTCAGTAGATCGTAGCCTAATGTTAATTGGAAATAATCTGAAACTGATTATGCCAAGTGTATGCAAAAACCCAAACGTGATATGTTTGTGATGAAGTTGACAATGATTACTATTTGTTTTGTAAGTGGGTTAAAACTGCTATATGTATGTGAGGTGAAAACAATTTGTCAAAAGGGTAAACATGGAAGAGGCAATTCCAAAATTGGGTATTCTCTTTATATATATAAAAGATATAAAAGATTATCATGAGTTTTACAATATAGTAGTAAGTGAAATTTTAAATAAAAAAGTGCAATCAAATTCATTAATGGTTTAAAACCTAAAATCGACAATAGAAATTCTAAGATATCTTGATTGGTGTTTGAAAGTAAAACACACAAATTATCAACATGAAATTAGTAGTGGGTGGGAGTAAAGTGGAAATAGGTTGTAGGTAGAAATAAAATGATCAAAACATTATAAAAATAGGACTAACCTCTGGTATTTGAATGTATAGTAGAAGTAAATTAATGCTTCAATTATCCAGATTCATCATAATGTCATCTCTAAAGAATTATCCATCATGTTCTTAGAGAAAGCGGACAAACAATATGAAGCTCCATCTTTAAATAAATTTTCTTAAATAATTATGATAATATCATTAAGAATTATGCTAACTATTGAGTTGGATCATTATGCTAATGTTTCATCCTATATGATGCCTATTGTTTATGATGACATAATTCTTTAGACTCCAACTTTTTTGAGAATTATGGAGTCATAATTATGTTATCAAGAATTATGCCATCATAAACCTTAAGAATTATCATAAACATTACTCCAAAGATTTATGCCATCATAAACATTAGTAATTACTCCAATTTACAGACATGAAACTATGCTACTAACCCAAAGAATGATTTGCACATATTCGTAATTACTTCAAATGATTATGCCATTATAAACATTATTCCATTCATGTTTATGCTAAGGAATTTAGATAGCATTAAGAACCGGTAGATAACATTAAGAACTCATCATAAAGAATTATGCCATCATAAACTTACAAATTACCATAACATTTTGCAAAACAATTCCGATGAGGTTTTCAACAAAAGAGGAAGACTTTGGAAATAAGTTCTAGTATGTAGCAGTGAAAAAAAGAAGTTGACATAAGAGTTTCGATGTAAAAATAAATCGGACAATTTACTATTTCAGCCCCAGTTTAAAAGTTATTATAAGAGTTTTAAAATAAAAGATGATTTTGCTAAATCAAAATATTTGAAAAACGAAAGTAAAAAAAAGTAAAAAATTATAAATAAACTATTTATATAAGAACATTTTGATAAAAAAAAAATAACGTAAAGATAGAGAATTAAATGAAAGGGCATGAGCTAATTTTTTTTGTTTTATAACTTTTACAAAGGAGAACTATTTTATTTAAATATAAGAACATACTACTATAAGTTGATGCTTAAAATATTGGTTAGCGGCAGTTGAAAATTTGAAACCCTGGCGATCCGCGTGATACTCAATCTTAACCAATTATTTAAAATCAAACGGTGGAGATCGTAAAATAGGTTATTCACGCGGATAACCAATGAAACGAACGGCCTAAGATTTATCCTCTCACCATATATAAACCCCACAAATCCTTACTCAAATCATCTCTGATATCTTCGTCTCCATAGATAAAAAAATCAGCTAGCAACAGCACCATGTCTGGAAGAGGTAAAGGAGGAAAGGGTTTAGGAAAGGGCGGTGCAAAGCGTCACCGTAAGGTTCTGAGGGACAATATTCAAGGAATTACAAAGCCTGCTATTCGCCGTCTTGCAAGACGCGGTGGTGTGAAGCGTATCAGTGGCTTAATCTATGAAGAAACTCGCGGTGTTTTGAAGATCTTTCTTGAGAACGTTATTCGGGATGCGGTTACCTACACTGAGCATGCTCGCCGTAAAACTGTTACTGCGATGGATGTTGTTTATGCTCTCAAGAGACAGGGGAGGACACTTTACGGATTTGGGGGTTAGGGTTAGGGTTATGGGCTTGTTCTTGTGTTGTAGCTCTTTGTTTTATGTCAATTATATAATGAAATTATAGCTTTGTTGAATCTATTAGACAGCTTTCTTGCCAGAATGCAGTGCTTTCAATTGACAAAGCCACCAGACCATTGTTCCAGTTTGGTCTCCAAATTCATTGGAGAACAATATTTTTGGATTTGAATTTAGTAACAGGATACTAATATTGTGAATCGAAAATAAAGGAACCAAAATAATATTTAAGCTTATCATTAATTATTGTATTTCTAACTATTTTCTTTGTGATCATATCATACATATAATGATACATTGTGATGTTTTCGGTTAATGGTACATTGATGATCAACATGGATGACCAGTCAATCTCAATATCATGATTGTTTTTGAAGAGGCACCCTAGAATTCTTGTAGCTAAGAATGTTGGGATGTAAGTGATTTGAAGTATCCAATGATTTTTTCCGTTTCAACTTTTTTATATGTTCACTACTAAGCTCTTTACCTCATATATGCTGTAACTAATGTTAGTTACCTACTAGTACGAGGCATCACGAGCTCTGAAATATGAATATTAGAAGTTGGGCTATGAATTTCATTCCATTGGCTTTTATTGTCTTTTCTGTTATTTCAATGTCTCTCTTTGAATATGTGAAATGGAAATGCAATCAGTGGAAGGAGTATAGAATCACATTGTTAGCTCATAAAACTTTTTTATTACCAAAATGAATGTTTATGTGAATTGTAATTTAACTCGTACATTACTTTTTTACTTTTAAATTATGTAGTGTTTCGTGGTCAAAAATAAGATAAGATTCACTTACTCTATTTGTTCCATTGAATTTAATGCATAAATATTTTAACAAAGAGTTTTCAGGTATACAATCTCTAATATCTATTTTCATTACATTTATCTTGAATCCTAACTAACATGAGTGTTGGAGGCCTAATCATACAAGTACCCCATAGGTCTTCCGAACTGGAGATAAGCAATGACAGTTCAAGAGTAACCTCATTGACTTCAAAGGCATTGAGATTGTAACCTCCAATCCAAGGTGCCAGATCACAAAATCGCCTAGGAAGTTTTGCTCTGCTGTAGTTTCCACAATCTCTCCTATTTTTGGCTCTGCAAAGAAACGGTGACGACGTCTATGGGAACGACTCTCAATTCCTGCATCTTCCACGACTCTTTGTCCCTCAATTAAATTTTCTGGTGAGAAGTTCTCCTCAACCTTCGAATGAAGATCTAGCAAATTGAGCACAAAGCTTGATCACATTCGATCAAATTGAATTCAACGTTGATAACAACTTTCGACTTTGAAGATAATTGAGATTTAATGGTTTTCGACAAAATCACGTCAACATGGATTCGAACGAGTGAAGGCCTTAGAACAAGGTGATTTCCTTGCAAGAGAGCAGCGTGAGATGATGAACCGTGTTTGGGAATCTTGAGTTTAAAAAGTGCGTGCTCGGGATAATGGGTGGATTGTGGCCGCATTGTTGGTGACTTGATCAAACTTTTATCAAGGGTTTGGAGGTGGTTGAATCAAAAAGAAACTATAGGGTTTGTGGGGTTAAAGTTCTTCACTTCTTATATAAACATTTTTGCAAAGACAAGGTTAATTGCAGGTATCTCAATTTGATTTCGGATTGAGGAAAGACGTACTCATTGCTAGGCCGATTGGGGAATTTCCTAAACAAATCTTTGTTTCTCTTTATCGCTTTATCTCTCTTTAATTGTTGTTCTTGCAAATTATTAATTTCGTTGTTGTTTCAATTAATTCGATTGGAAATTATTTTCAACTATCTTTTAAAGTGTTGTTGTTGATATATTTGATTGTGATTGTCTTTAACTTCAACAAAACAAATAGAATTTTAAACGTGATCAATCGCACACAAAGTGTTCGATAAATTGTCTTTGAACATTTTTATCGTTTTGTGTTCATTGGAAATAAGCGTTACGAATATATTTGCATTTGATTGATTCATGAATTAATAATTATTGAACAATTTGTGTTAATTATCATTCCATCGGTTTTCATTATGCATATTCAAGCTTTTCGATCGCAGGTTCGGTTAGATGATTCGATTCGGGTTTTTTCCGCCGTGACATATATTTTTGAAATTTTTTCCCAAGAGTTTTTTGTTTTAAATTTGTGATCTATTCACCCCCTGTTCGAATCATAGTTAAAGGGGATTTTTATTATCGTCTCCACAGGGATTGAGGATATTTTGATGCCTGCCTTTCAACAGTTTATCATTTAAGAATAAGGGGTTTTCAAAGTTTTGTTCATAAAATTGTTACATTTTTAGTAGCAAAGTTTATAAATTCTAAAGATTTTTGTTAACAAATTATATCAAAAGTAGTTTTCATCTACCCTAACTTATACGTATTCTTTCAATCTTGCATGTGAAGTCGGATCCTATTAATATCATCACACATTCTCTCAACACCGTCTATGTCTAAAGCGGCATCGTGAGAAATACAGTATTCAACGCTACGTGATTTCTCCATATAACAACCAATATAGTAACCTTTAAGTTCAACACAAAGAAAATATCGATCATATACCGATTTCTTTAATCTATAAACCGATAGATGAATATTTTTGGTCAAGTTTTACAAAATCTATGTCTAGAGTTTTACAAAACAAGAATGAATCATTAAGAACAAAAATATTCATCATATATTAATCATCACTTGTTCACATACAAGGTCATTCAAAATAAATGCATACAAGTAAAACATAGACTACCTCTACCTTTGATACAAAGAAAATTAGCTACCCATAACCATGGTAGCTTGCTTTACAAGTTTTGGTAGAATATGAATGAACATTCATGTCGAAGAATCGAACTCGGATGTTAATCCAGCTTCTATTTTCCAAATATCACTTTTTGATGAATAAATAATGAAGTTCTTGTGTGGAAAAATGAGTTTTGATCTCCAAAAATAGTGAAAAGTACTTATATATTTAGAATCTGACACGTTCGCATTGCAAACGGTTTCTTCGTCTAACGAACACCATTTTAGGCACCTGAAGTGCCTCTGAATAGTTAAACCGCCCCTGAGAAATATCTGAAGTTCGTTGTGCGAGCAATTCTTCGCACTACGAACTACCTCGCTACAAGTTCGTACAACGAACTTAGGATCCTTTAGCTACTGTCTCAAATTTGGGATGGTTCGCTGTCTCTTCGCTTCCATTTCACCACAACGAACATTCGCCGCTTGCCCGCCCAACGAACTTGTTCCCCTTTTCTTACTGAGATGGTTCGCTAGGACTTTTCCATGAGTTTGCACATCGAACATTCGCTGGCACTCCTCGTTGGATGATCGCACAACTAATATGCTGAAATCATTGTCTATCTTTGGATTCCTTGCCTAATTGCTTGTGTCTTATACTTTGATGTTGTTATGCCTAATTTCTGCACAATAACACACAAATCAAAGCAACAAAAGGTATTTTCACAATATTGAAGAATAACATCATATCATAAAGTAAATCCAACAAAACAACACAAAAGAGTTGAAAAATGCCAATAATTAATGATCAATTTAAAGTAAGTTTGACATTCAATAAACTCTTCCCAACTAGATCTGTGCTTGTCTACTCTAAGCTTTTAAGCAAAAATGTGTTTTACTTGATTGGAGCTTTTAAGCAAGATCAAGTATTGTTTTTTGAAGTGTGACTTCTTCTGATGTATTATTATGTTTATCACTGCTATTGGTGACTGGTAGGAAGTGGGAGGGAGTTCTCATATCTAAAAGTGTCTTAGGTAGAAATTAAACTGGGTAGGTATTAAGTGAGAAGTTGTAAACGGGGGAGTTTAACTTTGAATTGGTAATGCTAATAGTGAATTTCCTTTCTGGCTTGGTAGCCCCCAGACGTAGGTGTTGTTGTACACCGAATTGCGTTAACAACTCTTTGTGGTTCGTTAATTTCTGCACCTTTAACTGTGTTATATTTTATCCTTGTGTTTTAAATAGATATCAGTGTCTCAACATCTTTTAGGACATCTGATATCTGCATACCGGAATTTCAGCTTCCACAAAATCAAAATAATCACAAGATTAAGCATGAATCAAATGTATTCAACAAGATTTATCAGTCATCCTATGCATTTGGTAAACAATGAAAGTTTCTCACAAATTTATGGCTATTGGAACCTAGTGATACAAGCATTCAGAAAAAGTTGCAAAAATGAAAAAATACATTTGCACAAAGAAAAGAAATTCTTAAACATTCTATCATCCTAGAAAGAGGTAACCATGTACCTTGCCACATTTACATGATCAAATACTATAATCACCATCCAAACTTGGGAGAATCTTCATTGGTTACTTTTAGCAAATAAAAATGAATCTAGAAGTTCTCACATTTCAAGAAAGCATATCAACAATAGAAACTACAAGAGTGAACATTCCTAAACTGAAGAATTCAACTCTTAAACAACAACAAAAAAACAAAAGTTGAACATTCGTGAACTGAAGAATTCAACTGCAAATAACATTAAAATGTTAATGGTGTAAAAATACCAACAAAAGTACTAGTACCCAAAAGTGGTACATACAAACAATCATAATCCAAAATAAATCCATCAAGTGGATATTGTACAACAAAAGAGAATTCAATAAACATAAATATAAATAGCAATGATCTAAGCTAACAGAAAAATTCACTTTGTAGAACCAAAGGAAGTCGCATAAGATCATGCTCAAAATATCAAACAACAAAAATTAGTTCTCATCGGATTCGGTCTCCTCCTCTAGATTAACCTCCTCTCCAGAACTAGAAACCTCATCAGAACCAGCCTTAGAATCAGCCTCATCATCATCTCTCTCCTCCTCAATCCTTAGAAAGATTTGCACCTGCCCTGTCTCCAAAATGTGGCCTGGCCTCAGGTCAAGTAGTTTGAGCTAGGAATTGCTCCCTAGTTATAATTGAATGCTTAAAAATGAAGAAGGACAGGAGCATTCATGATTTTCACATGAATAT